TACACTATTCAAAAATACATTTTCATTCCAATGATATGACTCAAACAAGGGCTAAAATATAGGATGACCATTTTTCAGAATCATTCAAAGCCACCTCAACCTAAGAAAACATGGGTGACGCCTATGAGGTTGACAGTTGACTAGTGAGCCGTTGAATAAGGCTACGTGTTATCCATCTGACAGTGCCACCTATTCTCTTCTAGTATAAAATCTCACACTTTGTATCAATCACAAACAATACAAGTTTATACATTTAGCCCATGTTTGACCCACATTCTTTCAAAAAAATACATTTTTAAACAGTGATTTAATATCATTTTAATCACACATTTTTCAATAAAATAATACTATAATTTTTTAACCACTCATTCTTCATCAATACACTATTCAAAAATTATTTCTTATGAAAATAATGTGGCTCAAACAAGGGCTCAATAGTAACTTTGTCTGATATTCTCTCTTCAAACTTGATTATCATACACATTTCTGGTGCATCTTGATCATTCTCAATTCCATACCAAAAAATATAAGTTGATTGATTTGATCATTGAAGTGCTCTCGACCGTCTTTCTCACAATTGGAGAAGGTACCATGCACCTAATTTTTGTACAAGCATGGAGTACGAGAGTGAAGTCATAATTTGTTGGCTACGTTGTTCAGTCGAAAATCGAGCTCAATACCAATTATAAGCAATGGTAGTGGTTTTTTTGTTGCTTTTGAATGCTTTTACATAATGTTAGCAACTTAATACGTCTGGAGATTTTTTATGGCATCAATGTAGACGCATCAAGACAACACCATAAGCACATGTCATTTCATATAATATAGCACCGTATGCACATCATGTCACCCAATAGATATTACCAGCCTGTTTGAGAGTGATTTCTTGGCTCAAAATTGATTTATTAACTGTTATTTCATTATTTAAGTCGTCATATTTGACTTCTTCCAAGTGGATCCCACTTTTCTCCTAACGGTCAAAAAATCAATTCTCAAAATCACTCCCAAACAGGCTCTACATAATGTGTTGGTAATAAGTTGTCAATATTAAGATACACGGAGAAAAAAGGCCTGCTTAACCAACTTGAAAAAATATTTAAACTTTGTTTGGATAAATTCAGTGAAAGATGAATATTAATATCAACTATACATTCATAATCACTTATTATATTATCCATACATTTTGTGAAATTCTCTAGTCTCTACTATTTTTCTTCATAAATTGATTTATAACTTTGTCAAACCTGGCGTTAAAAGTTTCTAATTAGCATGGGTATATTCCTCTTTCCATATTCCATATGTGTGCATTTTGTAAGTATATTATAGTGTGTGAAGTGGGGTGGCTGTCAATCACAAAGACTTTTGTGTTTGATTTTATCTTGCATGTATCATGGAGAGCCATCAGCCACTTGTGTTTGATGGGTTATACGTAGGCTGGTAGCCCTCGTGTGATAGACATTGACATTCTTCTGAATTCTTCCCTTTAATTTGAGCTACTTTTGCACGATTGGTTCCCCCTAAACATTATCCTTTCCCACTTTGACAACGATATCACAACCATCTCTGTGTAGCATCCTATACATATAATGAAAGAGAATGCCTTTTATGTACACAAGTATTATAAAATTAAAGATCGTTGTCTACCTTGATATTGTTTCAAGTCCCTGTTTATTACTCATTATTTGGGAAATTAAAGAGTTTAGAATAGTATTATTTGGAGAATGTGTAGTTAAAAAATAAGAAAACTTCATTGATTCGTGTGTAGAATATTTTATTGTGTGAATGTGTGGTGGAGAATCATACTATAGCAAATAATTTAAAATTTTAAATGATACTAAACAAGCACTAAATTTCATCTATAGATAAGCTGGTGTACTTAAATGTGTTTAACAATAGTTATAAATGTCTGCACGTGTGTATACGCATGTACATGCACGAAAGGTAGATTTTACAGCCCAAGGAAAAATTTTAACTTTGTGCGACTGACCAATATTGATCATCGATGAAACTATAGTCAAAATATTTTCAGTCGTAGTATTTTATATATTTTGATTAAATTGCGAACGTTGATAAAAAATACTGTACACACGTCTTGATATTTTGAATTGGACAAGACTTGAAAAAGTGATTAAAGCATGATATTTATTTGTGTTTGTTTAGATATGTTTATAGGTTATTGAAATTATAATGTGATAGAAATATATAGTAGATAAGTGAATAGTAATTTTGAGTCTCGCGAAGTGTGTGGTTAAAATCAAAGTCTGATTTTAAACTTCAAATTATAATATGATTATAATCGAATTCAAACAAGCGCGATCGAGCAGAACAAATATGTCCATTAGTAAGTTCAAAACGATAAAGAAAACTATACAAATTAATATTTTTAATTCTCAAAGGCTTCTATAAAAGGAGACAAAGAGGAAGAAGGAATATATCTCGAAACAACCTATCTCTTAAACACTCTGAAAAAACACATCTTAGAGATATATCTTTTGTAATCTGTATACACCACTTGTATTCAGAAAAATATTAGATAGCTTGAAAATAGAAAAGCGTGTAATAAGGTAATCACTTATAGAGTTCTAAACTTCATAAGGTGAGTACCAAATGTATGTAAATATAGATTGTAAGCATGCACAATTTCAGTTTATAAATATCAAAGTAAAGTTTGTTATGTTCAACAAAGCTTTCATAAAAGGATTTCGTTAAATTTCTCATGATTCCTCGGCAGTACAGATAGAGATTTTAAAAGATTTTCAAAACATTGATTTTGAATGGATGTTAGCTATGCCAAAGTACCCGTCTTTGATGAATTGTTTAGGGGAAAAAGGCAGTTTTCTAACAAAATTGTAGCACCTTGTGTGTGAGTTATCTTTTAAAGTTTCGTTCCAAGTAGGAACTTGATTCTGAAAAGAGTTTGGATAGAGGTGAAAACAGAGACTCTAGATACTGTAAGATAACGTCTGTGGAAACAAGACTAGTTCTCTAGAGTGAGAAATGCAACCTTAATTGAAAAGCCTTTTGCGGAAACAGTTGTGAACCCAAATGATTTCAAAAACATTTTAAACATTTACTTGATTCAGAAGATTGATTAAGTACATACAAAGCATCTATAAGAGCATACTGGAAGGAAAGTCTGTTTACTTCCATTTGATTACTGTAAGTTATTTAATTGTTTTTACATGCTTATGATTTGATAATTCTGATGAACAATTCACATGCATCCACATCTATTTCTAATAATGATAATAATCTCATATTATTTTTAGATAAAAAAGATGTTTCGTTTTTATTTAAATTAGCTGAAAAATTTGAAGATATATTTCCTGTTGGTAAAGAAAAAATCGAAAAAATATATAGAGAAATAGATTATAATTGTAAGAATAATATAAGGTTTGATTCTGTAGGAACTAGTAAAGAGATAAGAAAGGTAGAAAATGTTATAACTAAATATAGAGATATACAAGAAGAAATTTCAGACGGATTAGTTCGAGGATATATAACCAAGAAATGTCAGCCTAGGATCTTTGAAGAACTACTAAAATACAAAGAATATTTAAAGGTGTTTGAAAGATTGAAAAATATAGATATAGGTTCTGATTGATAAATCCTTAAAGATATAAGATATATCTTACAAATAATTTTAGTAAGGGTAAAATAGTACTTCCAACAGAAAATGCCATTGTGGAAAATAGGATCAATTTTCCAGCCATTCTAAAAACTAACCCCCAAAATTCAATCATTTTACAATTTTAATAATGATTATCCTTTTTCCAATTAATTCTTTTAATTGTATTTCTTTTCTTTATAATATTTGTCTTTTAGAATTCATCTCACTAATTCATCTGCATTTATCTTCAAATTTAATAAAGAATATGAGGATGTAACCCTCATTAAAGAAGACAAGTAAAAATGGGGAACAATAAGAAAGTTTTATTTTTTGATTGTAGGGATATTTAAGCATACTGGTTTTTTATGCATTTTTCAAAATGGAAGAAAATGAATCATTTGCAGATGGCAATTCATAACAAAATGAATGATGATTTTCTTGGTAATTGTATGATATTCTACATCAAACGAGATTTTACTATCACATTAGATGTAGATTTTACTCTATAGATTGTTTTAGATGTATTTTATCTATAAGATCTCGTTGAACACAAATTTAAATGAAAAATTTGACCCCCAGCAACATTCATTCCCGGGCTCCGCCCTAGATAGCATTATATTGAACAGATGATCATCATCCTAGCAGAGAGATTAAGAAAGAACAAAAAACTTATTTTGTCAATACAAGTGGATGTTGGATGATTTTTGTGAATAGTGACGCTGAAATAAGTATAATGATGGTGACAAAGTCGAGGCAAGAGTTGGACTCTTTGTCCTTAAGTCGAATTTGCCCCGCAACGGTGCCTACGGATTTCGGCAATCGACTCCCAAGATACAACGACTACACTTGTGTTTGTAGCACTTCAAAACACAAGTACAACGAACCAAATTTAGGCTTATGTACTCCAAGGATGAAATGAAAGAAAATCAAAATAAATGAAATGATTTTGATTTTGGACAGAAAAGAGGATGAGAGACGTTTTGCATATCAAATTGTGTGGAATAGGACACCCAAATGGTCCTATTTATAGACCATGAAAGGGTATGGACGAAATGGTTGAGGCCAAACCATGCACCCTTTCCAAACAATGCACCTTTATGAAAAGGTGTCTATTCACTGATTTTCGTCCTTTTTCTTTATTTCTCATTTATGAAAAGATCGATCCCCGTTTGTGCGCCCCGAAACGGCGAAGTGGCAAACAATTTTGCTTAAACGGATTGAGTCGAGCTTTTGAGTATTTGGCCGAAGTCGATACGAAGTCACTTTAATTGATTTTTCAATTCTTGATTTATTTAACCAATATCCAACAGTAGACACTAATGTACTCAAAACATTTTTACACAAATATACTTAACCCAACTGTCTAGAGAAAAAAAAAATATTTAAGGGAAAATCTCAAAAGACATTCTTAAATTAGAATAACCGAGAAATATTTCCCCACATCGCGGAAGTCAGAAGTACCTGTTCAATTTTTTGAGTTGAAGTGTGGATCCATTTCGATACAATTGACACAGGCTTGTAAAATCTTTAATCTTGGAACTGCATTCTAAGTTTGCACCTGTAAGAGTACCAAGTTCTGCAAATTGAATCCTTAATCTTTATATGGTGATGACAAAACAGAGCTCGTCTATTGTTAGCATCAGCTAACCCTGGGCTGAAGCACTGGGAAAAAAGTCCAGCTGTTTTTACTTAATTCCTTCCTGGCATCTTTGTCGTTCGTCCACCACTCACAGTTGATAGTCGACTTGTCTAAGATCTCTCCTTTTGTATTGTCGAAATTGAAATCTTTGCTCGAACCTAGTGAGATTGTACGATGCTTTTGATCAAATTTATCTCTCTTCCCATGTAAAGCCTTCCCAGAATATTCGTTTACAATTTTCCTTGCATAAAGTTCACTGGAAATGTCTCCTTCCTCTAATGTCAAATCTCTCCGAGTGTTGCCTTCAGCTACTTTATCCCATAGAGTTTCTGATGCACTTTCGAATGATGCAAGCGACTCCTTTACCACGCAAGTTGGAATATCTTCACCAGTCAGTTCAAATGAAACTCTATGATCAACTACGACTTCCTCATTTTGAGATCCACTATCTGAATTGGAAAGAGATGCGACTTCAGAAATTTGGCTCTCGAGAAGGTAACTGTCCCTAGAGGGTGGTTCTCCGCCATTAGGCGTCAAAGTTCCGGAACCTAATCTCGAAATCCCACCATTTGGCGTCAAAGTTCCAGAGCCTAGCCTTGAACCCCAACCAATTGGTGTCAACGATCCAGAACCCACTCTTGAACCCCATTTACGATTGGAGATGTGTTCGTAGCCAAGAAATTTAGGAACTTCCCCAATGCGGAACTCAATAACAGGATATTTATCAGGAAATGGTGAAGAAGTTCCCGAAGTAGAAAAGGCAGAGCCCGGTGTTTTACTATGACCACCAGGGCTTCCAGGGTATTGATAAGGCTTGAACTCGTACTGTGATAATGAGAATTTCAAGTTTGTCCAACTGTTTCTCCGATCCCGTGCCAATGATGATGTCAAAAGTTGAGCAAATGGCACTTCTGGTGAAGAAGGTGTTGTCATTTGAACTGGTTCCGGAGGGGGAGTGAAAGAAGCAGTTGATGGTTCAGTGGTGAAAGTAGAAAATACTGGAGGCGAAACTAATTGAGTCTCGTGAGCATAGGGTCCAACTGTAAAAATGGATGCAGTCCCACCCGGAGAGAGTGCATTAATGGAAAGTGATGTAAGGGAAAGTAAACCGGAAGGTGATTGCGTTGCAGAGGGAGGATCCGATTGCAGAAAATACGTAGGAGACGAGGGAGGGGCTATGAAGGGAAACAATATGGTGGCGGAATGGTTAAGATTATCGGCAATGGATGCAGGTGCAGACGGTTCAGGAACAAGGACAGCATGACCAATTCGTTTGCTGTGTTTGTGAGAGCCAAAACACCAGTATAGACTCCAGAAGCTTCCCCATCTTCTCTTCTGTAGCAAATGAAGAAAAAACAAAAAAATAATAAATTAGTTCCATTAAAAGGATGGCCACGGCAAGCATTGTCCATAGTTTTAAATGTCTCTAAAAGGAAAATCATGATAACAAGTATAGGAATATCTCAACTCATTGAATTGATTTAAGATGTTAAATCATAGGATGCAAAACCAAAATTCATGCTGCATATCTCAACATTATAATCCAAGTTTAAAACTTTCACCTGCAAACAAGAGTACACATTCTAACTCACCCCTACTCATTCAAGATTATACACAAGCCCAGCTCCCTCTTTTCTCGCAATACATTAGAAATATACAGCGTGTTTATTTGCTTTTTAGGTTAGTTTCTAAAAGAGACTGATATTTGCAAAAAGCTTAAACTCATCATAACATGATGTGCTAGGAATCGCACTTGAACAGCTTTACCATTTGACAATTTGCGTTTCCTGCCTCACCGTTAGATGATGCTTATTTAGGCAATGAACAATTGAGATCATCTGGAATGTGAAGAGACCTTGCTGTTTAAGAGCAGAGCACCCTATTTGTTTTAAAATCTAAAATACATCAGTCTATATATGTGGGCAAGATTTTGCATACAGTAGGCATAAATAAGTCTTTTGGGATCCCTAATGCTCAGTTCCATATCAAATGAAGAAAGGTTACTTCGCTATGGTGGCTACTTTTCTCTCTTCCGTGGAAGACAAACTTCAAATAAACGCTATGGTGCTCACTTTCCTCTCTTGTCCGTGGAAGAAAAACTTATATAAACTTCATATCTTCTACTCCAATAAATCAACAAAAAGGTGTTGCCCTTAAGTCTCCCATTGCTCCAAAAAGTTCGTGAACAAGGATAATTTCATTAATGCCCGTTGTTGACAAAACGACTCTAAAGTACCAAGTCTATGTTGGTCCTCATATTAGACACAAATGGACACTATAATAAACCAGATTTTATTGTGTTTTTCTATCACAAAAACAGGGTTTCCCCCAACTGTAGAGTGTGGAAGCAAAATCTGCATTCTGATTTTTCTAATGAAACTAGACAGATGAACCCAATCATTGGAATCAAAAACATGGAAAAACCATTGGAGTTCAAAAGCCATTCTTTTAACACTCGCTTTGATTAACTTGATTTTCAAATTAAAATAATTTTGCTCAAAATAATCTCATCACTTTCTCATAAAAGTACCTTTCAATTATTGCCTAATAAGCTATTTGTCCAGACTAAACATGTCAACAACTCAATCTTTTAGCTGTAGCGTAATACTAAAATAATTCATAAAAAAATAAAGCTTTGTTCTTTTTCCCCTTTTTCTTTTCACTTTTTCTTCTAATTCAAACGCATTTAATGTCCATAAATCAAGAAAATTTACAATACCCAGTATTTTTATTCAATGAATTGCAATAAACAAAGCAACCAGGTACCCAGAAACACAACACATAAAATTCTTTTCAACATGAGAAAAACTTTTTGGACTCTGGTACTGTATCAAGTCGAGCCCTTTTCATATTCAAGGGAAACAAGATTTTATGTATGTATATACCTGTACTGTAGATGGTTGGACTCTGGTCTCAGCAGTGACTATGGCAGTTGCTGCAGCATTTACAGTCTCCACGCTGTTATGTACACTGCTCATGGTGGAATCTTTACTGTGCAAAAAAAAGTACAAATTTTTATCTTTCTCTGGCGAACCGCCGGCTGTCCGTTTCACGAGTGATATACTTTCCGGTTGCGTCCGTCTCAAGTCTATGAAGGAATCACTTGAGATTTTCAAGAGGCTGGCAATTACACACAAAGAAACCAAGAAATGGAGCCTTTATAAATGAAACTTGTATTGTAATATTTATTTGGTACCCCTCTATTCGCTAGAAAATAAGTCTCATGGTCATTATAGAGAAAAAAATAATATTTTAATTAGCAATTTTTTTTGGATATTATATGATTAAAAAGTGAGAAAATTTTGAGTCTAAGTGTAAAATATTTTATTTTCTAAAAAAGCTAAAAAAATTTGTTTTAAGAGAAGACGACAGGGCTAAGGAGTTGAGGGGTTAGTTTCGTGTTGTGCATCAGTGTGTGACTTAATCTTGATTGAATTGACAACATTACCCTCCACTTGGTCCAGATTTACTAAGGTGACATCCGCTGTTTCTTTATTATTATTATTATTATTATTTTGTTAGGATACGGCGCAGGATAGAATTAGCTACTAATAATGGCAAAACTGTCGCCAGGTTGTTGAAGGTGCGCATTAAAGTAGAGTACTTTTACGGTTATCTGAACTGCCGCAGAAATTTACTTCTCTCACGCGACATTCGTGCTACTGCTTGGTGGCTAATTTAAGGATTCCCGATAAGTTACTGAGCCCTATTTGAGCTCCATTTTGTTATGAAAAATAAGTTTTGTAATAATAATTTTTTAGAGAATATGTAGTTAAAAAATAAGAATTTTTTTGAATTTATATGCAAAATTATTTATTTGGAAGAATGTGTAATTGAAATGAATTTGAAGAAAAATGAGTTTAAGAGAATGTGGCTCAAATTATAGTTTATTTTGACAAAGTTTAAGAAATTATAAAAAAGTAATTTTTTGAGAAGTATATCTTTATACACCATTTAAGAAGGAATATGTTACTTATACATGATGCGGTACTCATAATGTCTTTATGGACATCTTAGTGTACGTGTAGCATAATCTTTTCGAGAAAATCACTATTTACGTTTCATCCTACGAGACTACTCACGTGACAGTCAAATTAAGAAATGATGAAACTTCACCTAATCAATGGTCCATATCTCCTTGATTACTTGGTCCAATTGAGACCATCAACAAAGGAAGCCGAAGTGAACAAGCACCACAACAAAAGCGATATATGAGGTTGAACCTCCACGGTCGAGTAGATGCTCCACGAACTGCTGTAGCACATTTTCAAAGCAATGAGCCTTCATTTTATAAAGCATCTTTCATAGCATCGCTTCGCTAAGACATCTTTTGTATCTTTGATTGATTTGATATCTCTACAACAAATGCTTTTCAATCAACTTTTCTAGCTACTTTTCAAAACACATGCTTAAAGTCCCGTTTGAACCACATTTAAAAAAAAATACATTCTTCAATAGTGATTTGACATCATCTCAACCACACATTCTTCAATAAAATAATATTATACATAAATCCAAAACTTTTCCTAATTTCTTAACCATACATTTCTCATCAATACACTATTCAAAAATATATTTTCATTTCAATGATGTGACTCAAACAAGGGCTAAAATATAGGATGACCATTTTTCAGAATCATTAAAGGCCACCTCAACCTAAGAAAACATGGGTGGCGCCTATGAGGTTGATAGTTGACTAGTGAGCCCTTGAATAAGGCTACGTGTTATCCATCTGACAGTGCCACATATTCTCTTCTACTATAAAATCTCACACTTTGTATCAATCACAAACAATACAAGTTTATACATTTAGCCCATGTTTGACTCACATTCTTTAAAAAAAATACATCCTTAAACAGTGATTTGATATTATTTTAACCACACATTCTTCAATAAAATAATACTACAGTAAATCCAAAATATTTCTTATTTTTTAACCACTCATTCATTTTCTATCAATACACTATTCAAAAATTCATTCTTATGAAAATAATGTGGCTCAAACAAGGGCTCAATAGTAACTTTGTATGATATTCTCTCTTCAAACTTGATCATCGCACACATTTCTTGTGCATCTTGATCATTCTCAATTCCATACCAAAAAATATAAGTTGATTGATTGATCATCGAAGTGCTCTCGGCCGTCTTTCTAACAATGGGAGAAGGTACCATCCACCTAATTTTTGTACAAGCACAGAGTACGGGAGTGAAGTCATAATTTGTTGGCTACGTTGTTCAGTCGAAAATCGAGCTCAATACCAATTATAAGCAATGGCAGTGGTTTTTTTGTTGCTTTTGAATGCTTTTACATAATGTTAGCAACTTAATACGTCTTGAGATTTTTTATGGCATCAATGTAGACGCATCAAGACAACACCATAAGCACATGTCATTTCATATAATATAGAACCGTATGCACATCATGTCACCCAATAGATATTACCAACCTATTTGAGAGTATTTTTTGGCTTAAAATTTTGATTTTTTAACCGTTATTTCATTATTCAAGCCGTCATATTTGACTTCTTCTCTCACAAGTGGACTCCACTTTTCTCCTAACGATCAAAAAATCAATTCTCAAAATCACTCCCAAATAGGCTCTACATAATGTGCTGTTAATAAGTTGTCAATATTAAGATATACAGAGAAAAAAGGCGTGCTTAACCAACTTGAAAAAATATTTAAACTTTGTTTGGATAAATTCAGTGAAAGATGAATATTAATATCAACTATACATTCATAATCACTTATTATATTATCCATACATTTTGTGAAATTCTCTAGTCTCTACTATTTCTCTTCGTAAATTGATTTATAACTTTGTCAAACCTGGCGTAAAAAGTTTCTAATTCGCATGGGTATATTCCTCTTTCCATATGTGTGCATTTTGTAAGTATATTATAGTGTGTGAAGTGAGGGTGGCTGTCAATCACAAAGACTTTTGTGTTTGATTTTATCTTGCATGTGTTATGGAGAGCCATCAGCCACTTGTGTTTGATGGGTTATACGTAGGCTGGTAGCCCTCGTGTGATAGACATTGACATTCTTCTGAATTCTTCCCTTTAATTTGAGCTACTTTTGCACGATTGGTTCCCCCTAAACATTATCCTTTCCCACTTTGACAACGATATCACAACCATCTCTTTGTAGCGTCCTATACATATAATGAAAGAGAATGCCTTTTTATGTACACAACTATTATAAAATTAAAGATCGTTGTCTACCTTGATATTGTTTCAAGTCCCTGTTTATTACTCATTATTTGAGAAATTAAAGAGTTTAGAATAGTATTTTTTGGAGAATGTGTGGTTAAAAAGTAAAAAAACTTCATTGATTCGTGTGTAGAATATTTTATTGTGTGAATGTGTGATAGAGAATCATACTATAGCAAATAATTTAAAATTTTAAATGATACTAAACAAGCACTAAATTTCATCTATAGATAAACTGATGTACTTAAATGTTTAACAGTAGTTATAAATGTCTGCACGTGTGTATATACATGCACGAAAGGTAGATTTTACGGCCCAAGGAAAAATTTTAACTTCGTGTGACTGACCAATATCGATCATCGATGAAACTATAGTCAAAATATTTTCAGTCGTAGTATTTTATATATTTTGATTAAATTGCGAACATTGATAAAAAAAAATTACTGTACACACGTCTTGATATTTTGAATTGGACAAGACTTGAAAAAGTGATTAAAGCATGATATTTATTTGTGTTTGTTTAGATATGTTTATAGGTTATTGAAATTATAATGTGATAGAAATATATAGTAGATAAGTGAATAGTAATTTTGAGTCTCGCGAAGTGTGTGGTTAAAATCAAATTCTGATTTTGAACTTCAAATTATAATATATTTATAATCGAATTCAAACAAGCGCGATCAAGCAAAACAAATATGTCCATTAGTAAGTTCAAAACGCTAAAGAAAACTATACAAATTAATATTTTTATTCTTTGTTCACGCCCAAGCCTATATGAAACAATGAGATCAGGACAAAAATGTCACTCTACTAAAAGTTCATGAACTTAGGTGAAAGAAATCACTTTTAGGGTTCAAACCCTTTTTAAAACTTTCCACATAGCTTTCGTGACCCAAATAATTTTGTTAATAATTATAGCCTTTATATAAACTTTTCACTTAAGTTTCCAAAGATAATTTCGTTTTGCTCCTTTTTCATATCCAATAACTAGAAGGGCCAAAAGTTGGGAAAAATTATAACATCATTAAAATAAAGGTGGTCTTTTTGCAAATTTAAAATTTCTTGATGGGTCCCACCCTAGGCATGCACTGCTCGATATTTTACAAATTGAATATCTTATGGGGTGGATTAGTATGGTTGTGGCCCTACAAGTCTAAAGGTGAACCGGCATATCACATGTTCAAGAAGGTGGGGGTTGATGTGTACTTAATTAAAATTAAAATTATATTTTCAAGAACCCACTTTATTAATCTATATTATCATAATACATAGATCCAAGACCAAGATCCTCCGTTGGATGATTTAAGATAACACAAAGTGATTTTCATATATGTGTTTATATATGGGTTAAATTATGAAAATAATTTATTTTTTTCATAATAAATTTTGTAATAAACCGTAATTACTCTATAATCAACAAAATATTATTTATCCTAAAATTTACTTACTTAAATTTAAGCATTAGTAGATTTTTTGAGCTTATATAAACACATAAGCTTAAATGAGGATTACTTTTTGATACCTGGGATATAGAAAATACTTTTATTAGTTGCTTAGTAAAATGAGTTTTTTTGGCCAAATCGAGTAGATAATGCTATGTAGTCCACTTGAAAGAAGAAAATCATTTCAATCATTCAAAGAGTATTTTTAATTAATTGATTTGATTTACAAAAGTTGTTTTATTAAAATTGGATTAATTGCCTAAATTTTCATACCAATATGAAACTTTGAATTTGCAATGGAACCATAATATTGTTTATTTCACTTCGTCACATTAATGAATTCAAACTTAATGAAGCAATATTTGGTAATTTGACTTCTATTCTGTGAGAAATAAGAATCACAAGTAAAGAAAATTCTCTCGTGTTTATGTAAAGAAAGATAGTATCACTGTGATGATCTTGAGGTGGTGATCTCAAGACATCAATATAGTGTAGCCATTGCCCCAGCAACATCACAATTTCACTGTC